TGTGGGGATGAGGAAGGAGAGCCAGCCTTCTCGACTGGCATTTGTATGAACTATTGGTATACCAGTTGGCAAAATCAGCTTCCACACCCCCATGCCACTTTAATGATAAATGTCTAAATACAGTCCTATTTATCAGAATCTGTTGTCTTCTGTCTGATTTATACTACCATAATTGACATCTAAGGATGGGTTTATAACTAAAACCTCTCTTAGAAAGTTCTAAAAATTTTTCATTTTAGAAAAAACAATTTAGATTGAGAAGCTTCCTTGACAGGTGTAATATTAAAATAAAAATTTGGGAATTTAAAGAAACATACTAAAGTATGTTAAAAAATCTTTTCGTAAAGAATATTAGTTCTTGAATTATTGCATTCTTATGAAATATTTTTATGTTATTTAGGGTACGTTTGTAAAGTCAAACGAGTTAAATGCATTAGTAACGAATTATTCGAAAATAGTAATCTTGCTCAGTGCACCTGCTCTGCAGTGATGATGTTTCAAATGAAACTAGCGAAGCTCACGAAGAAAAGAGTTAGTTTACTTTGTTAAGAAAATGGTGCCTGACGATATTGATGTTTCTAAATCTACTCTAGTGTTTAAATTGTGAACTAAAAGGTGAAATGATTGAAATAAATGAATAGTTATATTGAAAAAATAAATAGTTATAAATGAATCATTCGAAAAGTCTAACAAAATAAGAATAAAGATGATGTCATTCTCATTTAACTCATTCGACTTTATGAACATACCCTTAATAACATTTGTTTAATGAAATTATTTTTAAGTGATTTTAGCTTATTGCCTATTTTTTGGTCAAAGGAATGCAAAAGTGCAGTATCATACATATGAATATGAAAAAAAGAAAATGTTATCTCTGGAATGTTTTGTTTTAGTCAAAATAATATATTATTCAAATACTTTAGAATTGGAAATAAAACTTTTGATAATTTATAACTATTATATTTGTGATATTTTTTTATTAATATTATTTTATAATTAATATTTAAAATATAAAATTATTAGCATTGAAATCTATTTCAAAAAATAATGATTTGTTCACAATTAAATATATTTGACATTTAAAAAATTAGCAATTTGAATAGAACACTTAACATGTACAATAGCTCCTCTGTTGTTTCTTTGTCTACAGGAAAATTTTTTAAAAGAATTCTTGAGGAGGCTTTTGTTATTTTTGAACTTGGATATTTTATTATTATTTCCATTCTTACACATCCTAGAATAAATGTTAATAAAATTTGTAAATATAATTTTATGTTTCTCTTTCTTGATATAAACTTTTAATTCTGATGCTTAGTTTATGAATTGAAGTGCCTATAATTGGGATAGTCAGAAAATTAATAAAGCTAAGACCTTATATATTGTGAATAAATTTTTTAGCTTCTTAAAATACAATCTTCAATTGATTCTTGTAAATTATTTTCCTTATTTCTCTGTACTTTATGTAATATATAATGCATTTTTGTTTTCTTGTATGACATGTATTTAGAGAAAATGATTAACTCCATTAATAAAACAAACTTTATATGAGATATATAATAAGACATACAAACAGTCTATATTGTGATAAATACAAGAAAAGTAGATCTGTTTTCAGATCCTTCGTGGAAAAGAGCCAAGAATCCATAAACTTATTTCAAGCAAGCAGCAACGAACCTCACAGTAATTTGTTATAATTAAACAAGTGAATTTCATATTAATAAGTAAAATGGAACTTTCATGATCATTGGGTTGCAATCTGAAAAAATTGTAGACTTATAAATTCTCACTGTTGTCCATTTGTCTGTTTTTCCTTAATCTCGAGAATGGAGTTAGATAGATGAAAGATGAGATCAGATATGGAAACCTTAGGGGCAGGAGACCCCGATTAACTATATATGAACTTTCAATGCAAACCTGAAGTCATGTTATTTCAATTAAAAAATTTTCCCCTCAAAGCTGTTATATAGATGACTGGCATGACTCTATTTTAAAGGAAAAGTATGATGTACAGAGGCAAGTAACTACTAATTTGAGGTGGAGAGTATATATTTTAAATTAAATAAATTAAAATAATATGATTAAAATGCATTTTGACCATGTCGCAATAAATAATTGCTTGTTATTCTATAGATGTTTGTATCATTAAAAAAAAATTCATGATAGCAGTCCATGGGATTCAAAATTGTGAGTTAGTGGTCCATGAGATCAGAAAGGTTGGTGACCTCTGATCTAGTGGACATTTTATGAACTTGCATTTCAATCTGATATTCGTAAATTTTGTGTTTCCACTTCAATAAATGCTTTGGAATATACAGATTTAGTCTATTCTTTCCAAAATCCATTACATTTTGGTCCATAAAATCTAGTGTCAACAGTAATATAATTCTAAAATATCAGAAATAGATATATCGTCTGTTAATATTAGCACTTGCATGTCTGAAATACAGTAGAGCATCGATTATCCGACTCAATTTGGGACTGGGGTTGATCAGATAACTGAAAAAACGGATAACCGAAAAGTATGAAAAAATACATTATTAGTATAGTATATTAGTATATCCCATGTAATTAGTATATTAGTATATCGCTATTAACCTACTTCACATTGAATTTTCATCGATGTTAAGCCTAACAATTTTTTTTTTTTAAATAATAATCGTTGCTATTGTATCGTTAAAAATTACTTTTAAATTATTTTATTGCTCACAAAACAAACAACCACTCATAATTAGAAAATTAAGCCTCGTTTAAATACTGGCTTCCCTTTCATGATCGAGCCAGTGTTGCCAGCTATAACACTAAAAATTTAACAAAAATAATATTAAAGTAGCCAAGACATAGCCAAATATTGTAGTGCTACATCAGTAGCGGACATTTGAATTTGCCGACTAGAATGCACTCGGTTAACAGATGTGGCGGTTGATCGGGGGTCGGATAATCGATGCTCTACTGTAGATACTTACAATACGTAAAAATAAGAAGAGAGAAACAAATGTGCCATTGTTGCAACACCTATAGGTGCATTTGTTGCTTGATAGTTGTTGAGTGTGAATATTTTCTTTTGCATTTAGAACTTTTGTAGTAAGGAAATTCTTAATTACACAATGAAACCACTGTGCAATATAACTAATTATTACACTTTTATAGTTGTGGATAATTAAACAAGTGATAAATATGTCTGTAAGCTTCCACAATAATGCTGCACTTACTGTTTGTTCTCTTTGCATCAGAGAGATTTTCTCCATTTTGAAATGTTTCATGTGCACATATTTTAAAAAGATGAATGCTAATATTAGATGATAATAAAAATTGTCAATTTATTAAAATTACTATATTTTTTTATCATTTATTCTTAACAACAGTTAAAATATACTGTATATAAAAATAAAGCAATCTTTCAAAGTTACAAAATATACAATTTATAACGACAGTTAAACAAATTAAAATTCATTGCTACTTTATTATTGTTATTAATTTTGTAAAGTCAAACGAGTTAAATGCATTAGTAACGAATTATTCGAAAATAGTAATCTTGCTCAGTGCAGCTGCTCTGCAGTGATGATGTTTCAAATGAATAGAAAAAGTCTTGTGCCAATAGATTTTCTTCCCCTAATTAACAGTAGAACCCCTATCAAGACATGTAAAATACAACAAAATAAAATATAATAAGTAAAAAGTATAAAATTAAAAATTATATAATATTTGTTTGCAGGCATTTTTGAAACGATATGTTTGGAACTGTTTATATTTTGTGAAATGTGGTAAAAAAAAAAAAGATCTTTGAGAGAAAGATAATCTAAAAAAGGGTGTAGATAAGCTTGAAAAAATTATATGAAGGAATACTTAATCGAAGATGTTTCGGTTTTCCAGAATTGTCAACTAGTGACGTGAGATCTTTTTTCTAAAAACTGTTTTTACAATGAGATATCTTTATCTTTTTTCATATTTTATATGTATTTCTATCAATGACAGTCAGTGTGCATGTATTGCATATCCTGGAATTGAAGCATTCCAGTATCTTTTGGGAATAATTCATTTTGTTCCAGATTTTATCCCCAAGTACCTGGAAACTTTAGTTAAAATAAACATTTAAAAACATTAAGAAACATATAAATTTATGTGTTAAAAAATATTCTGTAAAAAATATTAATTTATGCTTCTAACTCAAAAAGAATAGTTATCGTATTAATTTATATATGCTTCTAATAAAGGAGTTTGCTATCTCCTCAGTAATCGTAAACAATAAAATATAATTGCCAGGATGCATTTGATGGGTTTTACTGAAATGCTGGCTTGAAATATTGATCTATAATTTTTTTTATGGCTGAACGATTAGTGCATTACATTGCATTTTCTTAGCTCAGAACTTAAACTTTTTAGTTTTATTAGTGAATATATATTAGTTATCAAGATGAAATTAAAATCAAAAAATCACTGTTTGTTTACTGTATGTATAAATGTAGAGATTTATCATTACTTTGTATTAACTAATGGTAATTAAAATACATTTTAAAAATATTAAAATTATATTTGTTTACTATTTTCCAGTTATAATATATAAAATACAGTCTAACATAAAATTAATTGCATATGCTGCTTGTATTTACACAAAGAAAAACACACTGCAAGAGAAATGACTGTAATAATATGTCTCTCTCACTTTTTCCTTCTTTTTTTCACTATCCTGGGATGTGATTGGTGTATGGGCAGGGGTGAAGCCACTGGGGGATTTAAAGGGGTGTCTCACCCTTTAATGTTGACAAATTCCACTGAATAGTTGGCAGTCATGCCATCAAAACAAAAAAAATTAATACATTTTTTCAGAATTAAGAGATATATAGCTATACAGGGTGTATCAGAATGACATTTTAAAAATTTGGGGGATTATAGAGGATGAAATTTTGAATGTTTTGATATAAGGAACCTATAGCCGAAAATTTGAACTAAAGTGTCTACAGTGGTAGGAAGTGCTTGACTGCTCTTCACTTTNCTTAATCTAGATGTGGCCAATGCTGCTAGATTTCAGTAGAGATGAATGCAAAAGAATACTTCGTAAATTGGGTACGTTTTCTGTATATATAAACTAGCATAACTTTTTTATTTTTCTGTATTATTGCAAGGCTATTTTTATACTTAGTAAATTTATAATTTATGTCTAAAGTTTACTGTTTTCTGATATTAAAAAGTGCAACTAAATTAAGTACGTTAACATTGTGTTTTCACAGATTTATGACAAGGTTTTTAAAGTTTTATCAAGAAATATTTGATCACACAATATTGAACTTTTCTATGAGTTTAGTACAGTTGAGCCTGTCTGTCTTGAATTTTATGGGAACAAGAAAAAAATTCAAGATAGACAGGTTTTGAGATATAGAGATTCCCACAGTAAATAATAATAGGTTTGATTGGAGGTATGATATTTTACTAATACAATATCAAGTACAGTAGATACCTGTATTAGGTATAAATTATAAATAGAACATTTTTGACATACCTTAAAAGAAATAGTTTGTTAATAGTTTCTGATGCCTGTCTTTCTTCAACCAATAAGATGCACGCCAAACTCATAGCTAAGGTTTCAGGGTGGAAACTCCTTTCCACCCATTCTCAGATATTTTTTTCATTTTCTTTCCCAAATCCTGAGAAAAGTTGGTCGGTAAAGCAGAAAAATCAGCTTGTACAACCCAGTAATACTCACAATGGGAAATAAACATACTACTCACAATGTATCTTTTAAACATTTTTCTTATTTATTGCTATGTAAACTTACATTGTGTTACAAAGTTACACACCACCAAAAATGCATGTGCGACACCAGAATCAGATAACACATGACCAGCTAATTTTGGTTCTTGTAAATCAAGCACATTTGATCATGGAGAACAGAAAAAAGTTTGTATTTACACAGAAAAATATTTATTTTCACAACCCAGGATTTGACTACAAAGTCATCTTCAGGTAAACTAACTAAAGAAATCTAAGGTAGCTTACCTTAGTATAGCATTTTAGTCAAATCTTGGGTTGTGAAAATAAATATTTCTCTGTGTAAACACAAACTGTTTCTGTTCTCCACAATGAATCATTTCCACAAATACTACCAACCATATTCAATCAGTTTGTTTGCAACTGACAATTGTGATGTATAGTAGAAACTTCTTATTTCAAAACTCAAGGGACCAAAAAAACACACGACTTCAAATTATTTGGGTTTGAATTAACTGAACTTTTTTTAAATCAAAGTTTTTTGTAATTCTTGAATAAAATTATGATGTTATCTTATATAATAATGTGTAACAAATGCATTAATAGTACAAGTTATTACTTAGTAATTTAAACTATTTCGAAAAACTCAGTTGGCATTTACTCAATGAAAACATAATCAAATTACATTTGAAGCCAGATCTGAAAATAATGTATGAAAGAAGCTTAGCCATTATTACAGATCCTCAATGAAAATTAAATATAAAAGATTATTTTAGAAATTCTTAAGAATTCTCAGAAAATACGATTTCTTGTTCTCGATTCCCAGTTTTCAAAATGTCAGGAACTTGGAAAACTTACTCGTAGCCAATCAAAGAAAATCAGCATTATGTGCAACTATGTATTGTGTTGCAAGAGACATTTCTCAACTATAATTTATGCTGTCAAAATATATTATTGCTGAGCTTTGAATTTATAATTGACACTTCATTTCATAGTTTGAGATATTGTGGCTTTGGGAAAAAATTATTTGAGATAAACATAGAAAATATATTGACTTTAGTCTGAAAATGCAGGGGGGAGAATAAATTTCGAGATAAACATGTTTGAGATCAACAGATTTAACTGTGTATGAATTTTGTCACTTTGATAGCAGAATTCACATATTAAACTATTTAAATTATTTTTTGTTATTTTCTTTTAATGTTGTCCGATCAGAATTTTTCAAAAACAAATTTCCAAAATTTAAATTTGGCTGATAAACCAAATATAGTGCTAAACATGCCAATCAAATTTTCCATTCAGATAACAAAGTTCAGAAATATTTAATAATTTTATTAAAAGTAACGTTTTGTATATGTGGTCATATTCATGATCTTTCAACAAATCTCTGACTTAACATTGTCTAAAATATAATATAAATTTAAGTATCTGTAAGCCCAATAGTTATATTAAAGCCAAATAATTGTTGGACTAGATTGGTCTACATTACTGCTACTATTAATAATTAAATGTTAAGTAATTTCACCTAGAGGTCGGTATTAGGCACCATTGCTTATTAAATTTAATAATTATAATTAATATTTATTAATTAATTTGAAAGGTTCTGGAAGAAAAGAATTGGCTTGGAGTGGGGCTCGAATTCACAACTGCTGTTTGCCACGCAGATGCATTGCCAGTTTACACATTACCTGGACCTTTGTCTGAACTTTGATTCCAGAATTATTAATTTAGATATAACCATACTGGTATCTCCAGTCAGTATCATGAGTAATCAGTATGGTTATATCTGAATTAATCGTTCTGGAAGTGAAGATAGGACAGAGGTGTGGTTGGCATAACTGGCAGTGCATCCACACAGTAATTGACAGATGAGGGTTTGAGTTTTGCTTTGGGCCAATTCTTTTCTTCCAGAACCTTCCAAATTAATTAATAAATATTAATTATAATTATTAAATTTAATAACAGATGATGCCTAATTTCTCTCTCTACACCAAATTACTTAGCATTTAATTATTAATAGTAGTAGTAATATAGCCCAATTTATTAGATTTATTCATCATTTTAGACAAATAATTATGATGAAATGTAACAAACTAGATTTTTTTTATTGATATATATTTAGAAAATTAATGTAAAGTATTCAAATTTTGAATACTTTACATTAATTTAGTATTTTGTCAGCATGAAAGTTTCCAATAAACTAATACTTAATTGTTAACATCGTAATTTAAAAGAGTTTTATTTTCGACTGAAATAAATAATTAACTTTCTTATTAAATGTGGAAGAGTCGTTCTAAGAATCAGAGATCATGATGAGATTTGCTTGATTCTGATTACCAGAAAATGCCCAATTTTTCTGACTCCCATATCAATTAACCGTCCCATCACTAGTTTCTTTTGTTACTTCATAAGCTGTAATTACTTTGAAAGACTTAAGTTCAGTATACAAAATTAAACTAAGTGAGAAAAAAGTATGGAATTACTCAAGATTAACAGAAAACAATAAGGTAATACAGTAGAGCATTGATTATCCAAAACAATTTGGGACTGGGGTTGTTTACATAATCAATTTTTTGGATAACCGATTATGTACGAAAAAATATATTAACCTATCCCAGGTTTAAATTTGTTCAAATCCTGGTGCATCCTTAATTAAGTACCCTCTTGTGTTCACATCAGTGCTGCCAGTTAAAACACACACACCAACAAAAATAATATTGAAGTAGCCCAAGACATAACCAAATATTGCAGTGCCACAGCACTAGCGGAAATTTAAATTTGCCGACTGGAATGCTTTCGGTTAATTGACGTTTCGATTGATCGACGTTCGGATAATTGATGCTCTACTGTATATAATTTGAAAGATTTCTACCAAATCATATAGGCTTGAGTTATGTTATTGTTGATGATGTTCTCAGAAATGTGCAAGATTTTGAATTTGCTTTACATAAATTTTTTTCTAGAGTGGGACAGCTGTATTTAAGTAATCCTAGATAAAATATTTTAAAAATTTATTTAAAAAAATGAAAGAAATAAATAGATAACCAAGCAGGCATATTCTTTTAAAGTCAATGTCTAAATCAAAAGTTATCTTTGACAATTATAAGATTCATAATGTCCACAAGAAAAGTTATTAGTTATAAAAATAACATGCTTACCTGTTGAAGAGGCTGAAAATTTAGACGCATTAGAACCTTGAGTTGAAGACACCATAACAATGGGAGAAATGGATGGTTTTGGCAAAATTTTACTGCAATAGTTGATACAAAAAACACAAGTGAATTTTAATTGCATCCTTTCGAATGGTTATATAAAATGATGTGTTTTTGGCCTAATATATATTTTAATTCACAAGATTGCATAACACAGGAAAAGATTGCTGTATAAAAAAAGTTCAAAAGAAGAGAGGTGGAAAGATTCAACTACACTTGCCCATAATTTGTTTTTATGAACTTGGTATGAACCAAAACGTAAAATCTTAATCATTGATATCTTGCAAATTCTTGCACATTGGCAAGAGTTACTTTTCCATGTATTAGTTGGATAAATGTACTATAACATATTAAAAAATCAAGTTTTTAAACAGTTCAAGGAAGGCAAGGGGTGATGGTCCTCTTATTAGTATAATCAAAATTAATACAGTAAATACATATTATTGACTCTGATTCAAGATAATGTTTTATCTTCTTCTCTAATTTGGAATATTGGATTATATACAGTAATACCCCGAACTTACGCGATAGATGGGATCGAGCGATAACCGCGTAAGTCGAATTCGTGTAAGTCGGGGTATAATTTCGCAATTTGTGTAAAATCCGAGTCGGATGTATGTAAGCTAATAAATGTTCTCGTTAATCTTATCTCGCCTTTTGATTCGCTCACGGTTACAAGAAATCACCACATAGAGTCTCTCAAATCTCCATAGATATAACAAACACAGAAATAAATAACACAAAATAAATTATAGCTATGTGTCGATTTGGCGCGACACGTCCAAACATGTAAGCCGAACAATAGTATGGGGGAAGTGAGTAATCAAGAGTTGCGTGGTGCTCAAACAAAAGACGAATCGACGAGATTTGAAAATCGTGTAACTCCGGGTTCGCATAAGTCGAGGTGTTACTGTACCTTACTTGGCCGTTCTATACTAATGCAAATTGGTTCAATGACTAATTTTTCTAGCAATTTTTTTTTCCATTGTTAATTGATAAATTAATTGATTTATGCTGCAGTTATTTTTACAGATCAGATATTCTTTCAAGTGCAATGTATGTAACAAATAAGTGAGAAATTATTGACAATATAATAACAATAAAAAATTTTTTCAAAATAGTTAGAGAGCACAGAAAATTAATCAGTAAGATGTAATAATGACTATTAATATTAAAATTTAAAAAGTAATAAAGTTTTTTCTAATAGAATGATTATTTACTGACTACTGCAGTTATTGGAGAATTAATCACCACTAGACGATTAGTATGTTTAATGATTAGTAAATGTTTACTTGATATATCTTTAATTTAAAGCATGTTTTTGTAAATGGGTTTTGAAAAAATTACCTTCATTCAAAAGTAATTTTTACAAAACCCAAAACCTCTTTTGACTGCGCCTTTCTATAATGGACAGTTTTTTTGGTCTTGCAAGTTTTTTTATGGAAAGGTTTCACTATTTTATAGTTTTATATTTTTATTTGCCTGCTTGTGTTAATAGATACTCTAAAAAGCAGATGCTTTGCATAAAATAGATAAAATTTATATAAATACTTTTATCTAGAACATTTTAAATAAATGGACATATTCTTTGTGGGAAGTAAAGATAATCATTGGATGACAAAGTGCATATTTTGTCATTAATTTTACTAAAATTTAAAATATTTTTGTTAGAATGTAAGAAATTCAACACACATACACTTTTTAAATATTAGAATTCATTCAAAACAAATATTTTTGATGCATTTATAGTCAATGAAATTTGCTTCCAACATTTGCTGTGATCATTAAATAAGTTGTTTATTAATTAATGAATGTACCATGCTTGTAATGTAAATTGTTAATTTTTCTAAGATAAACTTTAGAAAGTATTCAAAAGAATTGGAATTGAATTGGGAGTTTTCAGCAGAATTGGAATCGGAGAAATTTTGATATCATCCCATCACTAAAAGAAACCCAGAATGCATTTCTGTTCATTGGAGAATAGTCAGTCACGATCCCAGATATTGAGTTACTGTAGGATTAAGATTTGTCTATCATTAAACCCAGGAGATATGAAGTAGGTCTTTAAAAGAATATTTTAAATGCTTCAATGTGTCTATGACATTGATAGAACTTCTTCCAAAACTTCAGACTATGAGGCGTTAAATATAATTAAAAATAATTTATTCTTGCGAGCGCTTTTGACGTAAAATTATTTTTAATTATATTTAACGCCTCATAGTCTGAAGTTTTGGAAGAAGTTTTGATTGAGATAACTGTTGGCGTGACATCCAACCCCAGTACTTAATACTTGACATTGATAGATTTTACACAGAAGGATAAATTAGTTAAATTTCTAAAATTAAGAAGCCATTGCTTCATTTACTTTTGTTTCTCTTTGTTTTTATTAGTTCACAAGTTGAAGCTATGTTTGCTATATATAGACTCGTTTGCTTTAAGTTCATATAATTTTATTGTATATTACTGTTTAAAAGATATTAAAATATATATCAAAGAAATTATTAACAACAAAGAGACAAAGAAATATTCATACTTTTTTTCTGATTTAATGTAGAATATTCCACTTCTGTTATAATCATTGATACTTTATTGTAACACATCTGTAGTAAAATATTTCATTATAATATTAATGAACGAATTATTAATTATCGGTTGATTATTACAATCAACTATTTGAAAAAATGAGCTGTACCATTATTTGATGAAATCTAATATGTAATATTGCATTGGTGCAAAAATAATTCCAGTTTCAACCATTAATTTTAAAACAGTATATCTCAGCTTAGAATAAAGTTTATTTATTGAAATAAGAATCATTCAAATCTACACATTTTTGCCAACATGTAACAACTCTATTTATTCCAGTAGCATAGAGTTTGGAAGTCCTGGAACTAATAAATTCTTTAAAGGCATTTTGGATTGCTGGATGTTGAAAACTTTCTCTTGCAGAAAGTTGTCAAAATGTTTGAAAAAGTGATAGTCAGTTGGAGAGAAGTCTGGTGAGTAAGCTAGGTGAGGTAGAATTTCATATAGCCCAGTTCATTCAATTTCTGCGGAGTCATTTGTGAAATGTGTGGTTGGGCATTGTCATGGAGAAGAATTCGTCTGTTTTGATTGACATAAACTTTTCAGTTTTCGGTACATGTTGTTAATTTCCTGACAATGCTTCTCTACTGTGATAGTTTCACCAGGATTTAAGAAGTTGTTGTGAATAATTTCATTTGCCAACCACCAAACAGTGACCATAACCTTCTTTTGGTGCAGCTTTGGTTGGGAAAGTGTTTTGGTGGTTCATCTTGGTCCAGCTGCTGCACGGAATGCCATTGTCATACAGAATCTGTTTCTCGTCACATGTCACAATGTGATCAAGAAACAGTTCATTTCAATTAAATACAAAAAGCAAATGGTGTCGAAAATGCTCAGTTTAGTCCACTTGACATTTCATTTTAACAATCATTGTTGTTTATGACTTTGGCAATTGTGGAGCATTGAATTCTGTATGGAGAAAGAGCAATACCTCAAAGTACTGCCCACCATTGGTTTTCGCACTTCAAAATTGAAAATTTTGACCTCAAGGATGCATTGCACACTGGTTGACCAATTGAGTTCAACGAAGAGCAATTGAATCAACTTCGTGAAAATCCACATCAAATGACCAGAGAATTGGCGGGGCAGATGGACGTGATCAAAAAACTGTGGTGAACCACATTCACTCAATGGCAAGGTTCAGAAACTCAATGCTTGGGTACCACACACTTGAACAAAAACAACAAAAATCAATGCTCCACAATCGCTGAAGTCATAAACAGTTTATTTTGTTGCACAAAAGAAGCATGGAGCAGATTTCATAATGGCAAGTTTTTGATATTCCTGTTTGGTGCAAATGTCGAACTACTATTGAATAGTTAACATTTAGCTCTTCTGCAACCTCTCAAGTTGTTTTGTGGGATCTGCTTCAATAATGTCTGTCAATTGGTTGTCATCAATCACAGAAGGACATCTACAACCTTCCTCATCTTCAACACTCTTGTCTCCATTATAAAATTTTGGAACCAATGTTCTGATGTATGTTCACTGATTGTCCTCTGGCCAAATGCTTGGTTGATAGTGCATGCAGTTTTTACAGTTTATGTTCCATTTTGAACTCATACAATAAAATTGCTCAAATTTGTTTTTTTTTTTTTTTAATTTGACAGTATAAATAAACAAGAATAAACATGAAAACAAAACCATTAAAATAAATCAGTAGAGGATGCTTTGTGCTTTAAAATGGTATATTACATTAATTCATAATTAGACATAATTAAATAAAATTTTAGCCCAAAATAAGCCTAAAAGTTTAAAATAATGAAAACCGCAAATATTTTTGCACCATCCTAATAGTTATGACATCTCAGATTTTAGTCATTAACAGATCTAAATTATAATTTAGTTTATTTCTAAAGATTATTGGGCTGCAATTTTCAAAAATTTGTAGACTTGTAAATTCCCACTGACATCTATGTCTGTTTTTCCTCCTTTCTTAATCTCGAGAACAGAGTTACATAGATGAAAGTTGAGACCTGATATGAGAATCTTAGGGCAGGAGGACCTGATATATGAACTTCCGGTTTGGACTGAAAATTACGTTATCTTCAATTAAAGAATTTTCTCCTGGAGTTAGATAGATGATTGGCACGACTCCATTGTTAACAGGAAATGTATAATGTACAGTACAGGGGTAATACACTACTAAAATTGAGTGCATTTTGACGAAAAATTGCAGCTGGCATTGTGATGATGTCAATAATAAATATTTGGTTATTACATTTCTTAATTATTTATAGCATATTAATTAAAAATTCTTTCTTTTTGAAATAATTTTATTATTATATATTTATTTAGAATTAGAAGCATATGCTGCTATTGTGTCAGCTTTTAGAGCTCAAGGAGAATTGACGAAAGATAAGAAAAAATTGTTACAAGAACTTTCTACAGTTTTAAGGTTGGTAAACTTCTTATTGAATTTTGAATACCTTTAAAAAATAATAATAAAATTATTTAAATTTCTATTAAGCATATCATTGGAAAGACATAGAGCTGAAATTAGAAGAGCAGTTAATGATGAGCGTTTAAATACTATTGCCGATCGGTAAGTTAGTAATTTTTTCCATTAATTTAGTGTTTTATTTACTATTTTTTTAAGATTTAATGTTTTTATATGTATATATTAATGATGGCCATAATATGATTCATGATTTAAGATTCACATGACAGTCAAATACCAGCAGAACAGCTTATGCAAGTCATTAAACCATTCAAAAATTTTAAGTGAAAAGCATAGATAATATCATTATAACTTTGCAAAGATGATAAAATGTATTATATTAATATAATTGAAATCATACTACATAAATATCCATATAATAAACAGGCCAAGTTTGATTTACAATAGTCAAGAAGTAATACCATCTTAATACATTAACACATTCAAAATCTTATCATTTAGTTTTTGACTTAAAGTATTTGATGATGAAGCATTACACAATACTTTCAAAGATGTTAACATTTTGATAAAATACAACTCATACATTAAGCTAGTGAATTTTTTTAATAATGTATCTATAAATTCTTAATTGCAGTATAAAAAAATGAGTGATTTAATTTTGAAATATTATTCTTAAAAATTATATTTTTTCATGTATATTATGATAGTGTGTCAGAAAGTATTTGCAATATATTCAACTTAATTCTCTTTCTTTTAAACACAGTTTATCAGTTCAGAAACTTCTGTGTGTCATTAGAAAATTCTGTTTTTAGAACCCATACACGTAACCATTTTTTTAATTTTCTAATTAATAAAATGATGGTTTCGCAAAGAATCTTTGAATGGATAAATAAATTATAGCCTAAAGAAACCAATTGAGTATTATAGGGAGACCTCAGTGCTATGAATTTCAGTTAATGAAGAGTTTTAATAAATGTTTTGGTAGGCAGAAAGGATTATCATATACTAAAGTAAAATCTTTTGACAGTCACTTCATTAATGATTGCCTGTGGGTTATCCAGAATTATGATAAATTTATTTAATGATTTTATTGTTTTGGTTATAGAAATACATTTAGACAATCTTTTTATTAATAAATTTATTATGTTGATGCTATAGAATATAGTATATGGTATTCACTGCAGCAAATCTGCTTATGTTAAGTATAATATGATTTTTGGGGACTGAAGAAGTCAACCCACAAATCATATCACTATGCACTGTACTTTCGTATAAATAGAAGACAGAGCAGCAATTTTAACCACAAACATGCATACTACAACTGATTGGTCAATGTTTAAACTAAACTATATCTCATAGAGAGTCTGTACTGCCATTGTAAGAACTTAGTATTGCTATATAACAAAATTTTCACAAAAAAACAATGTGGATATTTTCTAATGCATTACAGTCGACCCCCCCTATAATTACGGTCCCTATAATTACGATTCCTATAAAACTACGAAAAAATATACGTATTTTGGAAATGTTGAGTCGGATTAGTGTAGAATCGATTAATTTTATGGAAGAAAACCTTTCAATCAGCC